GCAGGGATGGCCCTTAAGGCAACCGTTTTTCTAATTATTTTTTTTATTTTTAAAAATTAAGTATCTCACGTACAATTCAACTGATTTTGACGTAGTCAACGGCAATTAGCGGAGTATTTCAAGCACTCATCGTTAATTAAACTAAATTTTAACTTTGATTTATCGTTATACGATATCTACGTTTTATTCAATAGATGTACCAATTTATTTACAGATTATGTCACGTAAATCGTGACAGTATATGTTTAAACGCTTGCTTCTCGTGTTCTCGTATGAATAAGCGAGTCTGGAAAGGTACGCGGTAGTACTAATGTTGGTAGGTCAGAGTACCTAAAGCCGCCTCTTCTGCCAGTATGATAATGTAGTAGAGACGGGTCATGAAGGTTCAGCGAGTCGCATGTTCTTCTAGTTGAGGTAGTCGTGCGATGATAATAAGCGTAAAAATAAGAGTCAAAACATATTGTACTATACAGTTAACAGAGTTACTGGTATATTTCTGGTTAAAACTTATAACTGTAGCTGGTGGATATTCAATAAATCTCGGTCCATATCGTTTGATGGTTATTATTCCATTCTACTAACAATACTGACGATGACATAACTTACAGGAAAAATCTGATATTAATGTGATTGATAATACTGTAAATCATGTTATCGGAATCGAATACACGACTGACAAGAGACGTATTGCATGGTTGATAATGCGAAGCACTAAAGAATGCTTTACGATCAAAAAATTTGTTTCAAGTGATGGTTTCATAAAAAAATATATTAATTTGATAAAAGGCGCCATTAGACTAAATTCAACCGGGAAAGTAGATTTCGTGGAGAATATTTATTTGTAGTAATTTATTCGTTTAATGAATATAGACAATAATCGAAGTAATTTATTGATTTAATAATGAAAACAAATGCAATACACGGATTTCAGTATTATGAGGAAAAAAAAATTAGTAAAACAGTTGACTCTACAGGTTATCCTTGCAACTTCCCACTAAATTCAAACGCAAAGTGTTAAAAATATCACCTATTGCGACGTTTTATCGAACTTGGTAAACAATCGACATCATAGCAAGCATACATGAATATATTTTTCTGAAAATTTTTATTTTTGAGTTGTACTTGACTATTTGAGAGATATTATATCAAAATTTAGAGTAAATTCTGACACAAATACCAACAGATTAGATTAACTTCCATGGAATCTACCTAAAAAGAAGAAAACAATAATATGCACTTGAAATTTTTTAACTTTTCGTTATAAAAATCAATGATTTTCAAGAAATCGGAAAATTATTGGGTTCACCCTAGTTTTCTAAAATCGAGTTTTCATCGGATCTCGACGTTTTAAGATTCTAGGAAACTATTCTAACTATTCCTACAAAGATGTCACTATGGCTGCATGTGTGTGTGTGTGTGTGTGTGTGTGTGTGAACCTCCCATAACTTTTGAACGGCTGGACCGAATTAATCAAAATTGGCGGCGTTCGGAAGGTTTTTACCAAACTGAGATTGTCAATACTATTTCAACCGGTTTGGACACGTAGATTTTGAGAAATCGTAAAAATAAAATTTTCGAACAAAAATTTTTTTGGAATAATTTTTAAATAGATGTAACGATTCATTTCAAAATCTAATTAGCTCTTAAACTTGAAAAACGACATCGATTTCTGCAAACGGCATTAAAATCGGTTGATGCGTTAAAGAGAAATCGGTGACGAAAAATTCCAAAAAAAAAGTCTTTTATTTAAATAACTTCGAAATTTTTTCTCGGATCTTTTTTGATGTCATTAAGTAACTCTGAATGCTCGAAAAACTGTGTCGAACGCCATCAACCATCAATATCGTGAGACTCCCTTTAGTTCAAAAATTTATTTTTTAAAAGTCTCCAAGCACGACACAAAATTTTAACTTTGGAGACATCGCCTTATATAATGATTTTTCATTATTTAAACTTTATTAGTAATTGCTTTTTGTCATGCTGTTAAATTATTCTTCTTTTTTTCAACGCAAGAAATAAATATAGTTACGAAGTAGTCGAAATATTTTTGAAATGATAATTTTTTCACTTTTTCATTGACGATATCCTTTAAAATACTCAACGGGAAATTACTAAATGTTTTTTTTACCTATTTAATGAGTAGTACATATAATTCACTTAGATAAACTAAAAATATCAATTCTCATCTTTATCTTTACATTTGCAATTATATCAAGAAATGAAAATTACGTTTGTTCGTCATAATGAAGTTTTCTAGACTGTTCGATTGTTGGTAAAGAACTATCCTTACGTTATTGTATGATCTTTAATGTTTTTATGAATATTCCAAGGTTATAGTTTTGCATTGTGTATTAACAAATACCGGTTGGCTATTACCGTTACTTAACGTACTAATAATAATTCAGGCATTGACATTCGTACTATTAGCTAAGAAATGAAATGAGTGAAATAAAAAAGAAGAAAATTATGTTTTTTTAAGTTCTCTGACACTCATGAAGTTTTATTGTTAGTTTAACAGCGATTTAACGAATTTGTTAAAATGCGATTGCATGGTTCAAGTACGATAAAAGATTGCAGATTTAAGAAACAGACGGAAATTAACTTAGCCGATATTTATTAATTTTAAAAATTTTTTGAACAAATAAATTATAGCAAAAAAAGACTAGATGAAAAAATTGACATGTAGAAATTTTGAAAAATTAAAAATGCAATTTTTTAATAATAATTTTTTAGAATTAATTTAATTGTTAAATAAAATAAAAAGTTTGTCAAGTGACAGCTAACTTTAATGTCATGAGAAACAGTCTTTTAATTACCAATTATTCGAACATTTACTTATAATAACGAATACAAATAGTTACAATACACAAGAGTGAGTCTTTGGAATAATGGTTTTATGAAAACTTAAATTTGTAATATAAATAATTAGACGGTCAAAAATTTTTTTTTAAACTCACAACAAATACATTATAAGACTCAGTTTTTTTAAAGTTTCTGACAGTTAGTTTTTTTTTTGTTTATAACTAAGAAACTGATACAGAACTGCAGAGAGCGTATGCAATTAATTTGAAATATCCAATTTTTAATTGAGTTCATCTCGGATTATAGGTAGTCAATCGACTTCAAATTATAAGGGTAATTGTATCATTATGACCTCAATAAGTATACAAAAATTTTTAATTTTCTGACGCTATGCCTTAACCACGACAACTACCTTAAACAAAGATTGTTTCATTACAGTTGATAAGACTTAATAGCCATGTCAGATAAGTTTCATAGTAGAGTAAAAAAAAGTGATTTTTATCTGATACAGGATAGAATTGATTCAAATTTGCATATAATTTTGGGATAATAGAACACAGAAAGAATGGTTCACTTGAACCAAGAAAATATTATTTAGGGCGAAAAAAAAATTTTTTTTTGACTCAAGAAATTTCACTTATTCCAACAAAATTAATTCTCTTGCTTCAAGAAATACCTATCTTGATCCAAGACAATTTATTTAAATCAAGAAAATTTTCTTGTTTTGAGAAAATTTTTCTCTTGCTCCAAAAAATTAAATATCTCGATAATAAATTTTCATTAATATTTTTATTGACGAACATGTCAAATCGTAAGATCAAATAATATTGAACCATTTTCTTTCATTCAATATGTATAATTGCGTGCTAAAATAATCTAAAATGGGTATCAAATATTCAAGAGAAAAATTTTCTCAAGGTGAGAAAATTTTTTTCTCAGCTGAAGTAGCTGGCGCTGCTTCCCTAAAGTATCTAAAAGTCTTGATCAGATATAAAAATTTATTGTATCAAGTATTTATGATAATTTGAATTAAGAAAAATTACTTCCACCAAGAATAGAATTTCAAGAAAAATTTTTATTTCGGCCAAGACAACTTCGGTCTTCCTTCGGGCACCCGAAAATTTACTTGAGCCAAGAATTTTATTCTCCAGTCAAGAAATCTTTTTCTGTGAACCCCTTGTAAGGCCGCAAGCCACATCTCGATTAATTTGATCAGCCAAAGTGTGTTACAGAGAGATGTATTTACCCCGTTTTGCGAAAATCGAGTTTTCATCAGGTTTTAACGTTTTGAGGTACTAGAAATTTTCCCTGATTATTTTTACGGTGAAGTCCGTGCTACTGTATGTATATTTATATGTGTACATGTGTACACACGAGTAGCCGAGTTTTTTCTAAAAATATTTGTTTGTTTAGGAGAAATTCACGAAGCTGGAACAGCTGGGACCGGCTCTTAAAAGTAATAGTTAAAAAAAATTTTTTTTAATGATAAATTTTTGGTGAAAAAAAAATTTATAAAAAAATCCAAGAATGTAAATTTATGAATCGAAAATACTGAGCTATGAATAATTAGTGAATAATGATAAATAATAAATCAACAGAAATAATTATTTTTAATATACCGAACTCATACCGATCGGAAATATAGATCTATCTGTATCATATTTATTGAAATTCTAAATAGTGTGATCTAGTCTTAAATATAAGTAATTAATTTTGTTCATTAGTATAAATTCAATAAGCATGTAATAGTTATATGGAATGATATTGATTTATTTAATGATAATTTATATACACTATATGGTGATATTCCAACAATAGAAATAAAAAAAAAAAAAACAATAAAATTCCTTGATCTTCAATTAGAAAATAATGATGAGAAGTGTTTATTTCTGAAAGATAGAACAGAATCAATATAATGTTATTAATACTTATTTATATTAATTGTATCGCTTCATGGCTTATGAACATTTTTCACATTAAACATAAAATTTTATTTTTTTCATTTAATAACCCAAATCGTTTTTAAAAAAATTTTTTTGTGTAATCCATTTGTATGTAGTAAAGTATCTTATCAGCTTAAATAACATTAATTTAATACAAAAGATAATAGAAATAATTTTTCAATCCACCGTACTTACTGGCAATTTCAAATTTTTGTTTTAACTTGCTATAGAATAATTATAACTCAAATTTTATACTTAATCATCCTCTTGCATAGCTTCAGTATTGCCGTTGTTTCCTAAAATCAAAATGATAATTTTAAAATCAAAATAATTTTAAATACAATGTATTTATAATTTTAAAATGTATTAAATACTTATTGAGATTATTAAATACTTTAATTATTATTATCATTATCACTATGTTGATTTCAAAGAACAATAGGTTTAGAATTTGAATATTTAGACTTAAAAAATTCATTTACATAATCGACTTGAACTCTCGAATAAATTTGTAATGCGAAAACTAAACAACTAATAACATGTTAGATTTTCGCTTATCATTTTTTCGTTATAAGGTAAAGGGCCCAGTTTCTGACACCCTAAGAGTGACGGCAGAGGTTATAACAAAATAATTATTACAATATTTAATTGGAGTAAATAATTTTTGCATCATAAAAAAATTTAGAATTTCTTGAAAAGATTATGAACGCGAAAGAATGATATGGGACTAGTTTATAATTTAAATTAATGTTTTAAACAGTAACGTTGTAGGACTTAATTTCTGACACTTAAAATTTCTTGTGTTGTAGTTTCTGACACTGACGTCAGCTTAGATTCTGACACTCATTTATAAAAATTATTCATTATTGGTTAGGTTTACATTATTTAATTAAAATAAAATAAAATTATTCAATAAAAGATAAATTAAACTTGTATTATAATTAAAACACTTAGTGTTAAAAAAAAATTTTAATGTTAATTTAACTCTACGATTATAAATAAAAGCATATTATTATAATATATCAAGTATAATAAATATAAATATTCAAATGTTTCATCCAAACGTCAACAACCAAATAACCTCGATAATAGGTTAAAATTGGGGTGTCGCTGCGGCGTTCTTAAAAAAATGGACCTAGTTATTGACACCCAAATTTTAATACATAAATGTGATTTAAATTGATATATTATAATAAAAAACTAAATAATGTATAATTATTAACTAATTTATATAGTTTTTATTATAATTTTATACTTATTATGATAAATAGTTGATTGATTCGATAAACGAACGCTCTTACGTATACTGCTTAGAATACAGCTTAAAAATGGCTTCCACAGTCACTCAAGACAAAGAATTTTTTTTATCAAGTTATTTTTTTTTCACGGTTGGAAATATAATTAATTACGTACATAATTAATTAATTTTAATTTAAAAAAAATTTATAAAACTATTTCGGCTGTCCAATTTTTAAGCACAGTAACTGCAAAATTTTTATACTTGATTTTTTTTAGTATTGCTGCATTTCTTATAACTTTTAGACCTTAATTTCAAGCATTTTTTCTTAAAAATATTTATATTCAAGTATTTTCTATTCATAAATCAAATTTTTTATCAATTTGGCGCGCAAACTTTTTTTTAATCAGAAAAATTTTTAAAAGTCTTAAAATTGTCGGTTACTGTGTTTTGAAATTGGGCAGCCGATTTAATGAAATGTTTTTTTTTTTTTTAATTCAAAATAACGTTAGAAGTGTCAGTAACTGGGTCTTTTACCTTAATTATAAAATATAAATTTTTATTACCGTTTTGTTGATGTTCTTCCGTAGGGAAGTTACCAGATTGAAGTAGTTTGCCTAGTCGTTTTACTTCATCTAATGATGTTGCATTGGAGATAGCGTTTTTAATTTTATTTTTCTCAGCAGTACTCATTAATGGTTTATCGGAATTTCCCATAGCTGCTTGCATTTTAGCCTTTTTAGCTATTTCACGTGCCATTTCTTTGCCTCGTTTACTTTGGAAGTATTCAACAGCCTCTTCTCTATCTTTTATCTTGATTTTTCGACAATCCAGTACGCGAAGTTGTGGAAATCTGTATATTATGTATTGTCGGTACTGTGGTTTAGCTGATACTGGATTTTGTAAGAGACACATATGCTGAAGATTTTTTAGAGGAATTAAAGGATCCAAATCGCCTAATTCTTGTATCATATTTCCAGTAAGTATTAACATTTCTAAATTGGGTATGTAATTTTCTAAACCTTCAGAGATTCTAACAATTCTGTTATTGTTAAAAAATAATGTTTTGAGTCTTTTCAAGAATGGAAAGCCATCTAATTTTCTGATATCGTTATCGGAAAAATCTATTGTATCAAATTGATCCTAGAAAAAAAAAATTAATAAATTATTTTAACAAAAAAAATTTTATAATAAAATACGAATGAACTTACGAGAGTAGCTCCCAAATTTTCAATTGTTGGTATTTTATAACCTGAAACAAATAAAAAATATTTTTAATTATTCTTTGGATACTTATTATACTTATTATTTATGGTCAAAAAAACAAGTTTTTTTTTTTTTTTTTTTTTTTTTTTCTAAAGCGTGTTCACAACATAGATAAATTTTTTAACAAAAGCCAAAAGTCAAGTAAGTCAATTTAATAGTAATAATTTACTTCTAAATTAACACTTAAAAACTGAGAAATTTTTCGTTAAAATTTTCAATTTTTCGATAAGCAACAGTATTTTTGAGAAAATAAAAATTGTATAGATAGGCTTTACTAACCTCGAAGGTCCAATTCTCTGTCTCGTACAGGATTTATATACTGCATCGATTGTTGTATCAATTCTGTAGTTAATTTAACCATCTTTGTGAGATCTTATGTCACAACTAAACTTTTTAATTAAAACAGCAGATTATTTAAAAATTAATTAAATTTCAAAATAACTTGGTCAACTTGTGCTATGAATTGCCATTAACATGAATACACTGACTAAAAGCCGCTATGCCGCTTAGTGACGAGTGAGTATCGAGTGAGTATACACGTAAAGCCAAAACAGCCATATTGTTATATATGTCTAAAACGAATTATACTATAGATATACTTGTTATGTTGTTATGTTGCTGTAAATATTAAAAACACTATAATTGCAATTTTTTAAAAATAATTTTTAGTTATTATTTAATCAATGAAAAAATTGAAAAAAATTAAAAACTTCGGCTGACTTTAAGGTAGTACCTCTACGAAAAACATATTTAAAGAAACTTATGGAATTTTTTTTATCGCAAGATAAATATTTAAAAATCACGATTTTTAGGCGAGAGTAGAGCATACCTGCGCGCTTCGCGCTTAAGGCATGCAATAATTCACCACCAAAATTTCAGATCAATTCACCGCACCGTTTTTGAGTAAGTAATTTTTGAAATTGCATCTTTTACACGTAGAGGTATAGAGAGATGGTAAAGTTAGTATGAAATCTTCCGTACCGCTCGAGAGATGCAAATAGATTTCGGGGTCATCTGAGTGATCCGAACGGAAATGTAGCCAATGTAATAATTGTAAAGAAATTCAAAAAGTAACTTGCTCTCTAACAAGTTATATACATTTAATACTTCATACATAACACTTAATGTATGTCAAATAATAGTAAATTCTATATAATAAAATACACACATTAAAACATTTAGATATCATATTTATGAAAAAAATTAAACTGTAATCCATGAAACATTACAAAAGAACGACAATTGATCTGTCTTCTAAGTCTTCTAAGTCATAAGAAATTAGTTGTCGGTAAGGTAAATTTTTTTAAGTAACTGGCGGTGGAGGAAATTTAAATTATATAATCTAAATTCAAACACAACCTTTTTATTCTAAATAAGAATAATTCTTCTTGAAAATATTTATTGTCTTTATTTATTAAAATATATAAATATTGATTACTAAAATAAAACAAAAAATCGCTTATTTAATGGGAAATTATTTATTTTTCTTTATAAAGTAATTTTTGTTAATTATATAAAATATTAAAATATTAAAAAAAAACTGTTCTTTAACTTGTTTCAGCTTAAACTATTATTTATTTATACACCTCAACATTTATCAATAATTACGTTCTTGTCATATGAATACTATAAAACAAACAATTATTTTTTATATATACGTAATTAGAATAATATAAGAAGAAAAAATTATTAATTTAAATATAATTCGTTTAAACTTAGATTAAAGATAAAAAAATATAGGAATATCAGATATAATTAGAAAGTTAAAAAATATTAGAAAATTAAAAAAAAAAAAATGTTTTTGTTCCTTTAATATTGATAAATTTTGAGAAAATGTATAAATAAATAATAGTTTAAGTTAAAACAAATAAAAAACAGTTTGATTTTAATATTTTATAGAATTAACAAAAAATTACTTTATAAAGAAAAATAAATAATTTCCCATTAAATAAGCAATTTTTTGTTTTATTTTAGTAATCAATATTTAAATATTTTAATAAATAAAAACAATAAATATTTTCAAGAATAATTATTCTTATTTAGAATAAAAAGGTTGTGTTTGAATTTAGATTATATAATTTAAATTTCCTCCACCGCCAGTTACCTAAAAAAATTTACCTCACCGACAACTAATTTCTTACTTATGACCAGGGGTGGGCACGTAAAATACTATACGTATTATACTTAGTTTTATACATGTATAATACACGTAAATTACCGGTTGGGTTTCTTACGTATTTTACGTTAGGTATTTCAACACCATCTACCGAACTTTTGATGAACTTAAATTAGTAAATAAATAAATATAAACTAAAAATTCATCATTATTAACCTAATATTTAATTAAATTGAAATTTTTACATTATTAATTCATCAAATTATAATATCATAAAGAAAAAAATATGCAAAGAGGAGGTCGACCGAAGCACAGTTTTTGGGAAGAAGGAGGATTTCAGCGTATTCGTGAAAACGGAAAACAAGTTGCATCATGTGTAAAGTGTAAAAAAATAATTAATAATACCGCTGAACAACGATTGAAGAGTCACAGGTAAATTAAATCTTAATCTTAATTTTTTTCTATTCTCTATGATTTAAAATTATTAAACTATAAATTTATTTTATAGGAAGTCGTGTATTTGGGAAAACTCTGATTCAATTTCTGAATCGGAAGATAATTGTAATATAACATTGTCTAAAAAACGAAGAAATCGGTCTGGGAGCTATGATGACAATAATAACAGTGATCTTAAGAGAGGTTCTTATGATGAGGCTGCTACTCCATCATCGTCTATTCAATTAAAAAAGGAGAAGCGTAAAATCAGTTCTTTTTTAGACTCGATAAGTGACAAAGAACACTTAAAAATTGACGAAGCTTTAAGTAACTTTTTTTATAGTAATAATTTATCATTTGATCTAATTCAAGATCCTTATTTTAAAAAATTTTGTAAAATATTACGGCCTGCATATGAAGTCCCTAGTGAAGTAAAGTTATCGACAACTCTACTTGAAAAAGCTCACGATAAATTTACTGATCGTAAAGTAAACTTGAAGGAGAAAAAGGGAACATTATTATTTTGTAAAAATGTTGCTCAAACAAATGGCTTAGAGATTAATGCTATAACAAAAACTGGAAATGATACATTATTTCTAAAGTCTTGGATCTTGGAAGAAGAACGTGATTATATAAGTAATTATTTACAAATGATTAACGAGTCAAGCTCGATCGCACTTAAAAAGTATTATATATCAGTGTATGCTGTGATATCATTCATAAACATACCAAAAAATAATCGTATTCTTGATTCCACATCAGCATCGCCACTTCTATCGGAATCTATATCTATGTGGCACTTCGATTGTCATTTAGAAACTGTCGATACACTTATTGCAGCAATTCATGATGATTCTTTAGAAATCAAAATTAATCGTCTGCTAAACGCGATAAAAAGTACTGATATTGAAGAAGAATTAGTAAAACGAGGTGGAGATACTCTATCCTGTCAAACAAGATGCTCAGCTTTTATACTATTCTAAATTATCGGTAAAATAAATGATTTAATAAAGTTAATAAGTTTACCAATGAGATTATCTCGATGGATATGAACTTAATTATATTATCTAAAAACAAAAGAAACCCTTTTGTAGAGAATTTGATTTCCTATAAGCATATTTTCATGATTTTTTATCAAAATTTAAATAATGTAACAAATATTCCAAAAAAATATAATTTTATCGAATTTTATTGAACTTAAATTAGCCGCCGGCACGTGTTATTTTTGTTAAAAATCAAAAAGCAAAATTTTTCTCGTAGTTTTTCGTCAAAAGGAAGGATTTTTTAGGGCGTCTGAAAGAATTTAATTTTTAACGACCACCCTAATATATATTCTTTGTCAAGAACAGTTGTAACAGAAAATAAATTAAACTTCAGATCAGGAACGTATAGTACATCACGCAACATAATAGGATACCATTTTTTATTATCATATACATTTAATTCAATATCACCAAATGCAATACCTTTTAATTTCGTTGAATCTCAAATTCCTACCAAAATTGGACTATCTAATGAACGTACATTTGTTAACCATTTTAAATTTCCAGTTAAATGATGAGTAGCACCACTGTATTGTATCCACATGTTACAATTGCTTGATGATTCTTCAAAATACATGGATGAGAAAGCAACTAATATGAAAGATTTAACTTTATCATTTTTCTCAGTCATGTTGATTTGTTCCTTGTCCGGACGTTCATTTGCAAAATGACCCTTTTTATGACAAATATTACAACCATACGTCTTCTTGCAGTATTAAACATATTTAGCACAAGCTTTATTTGTACAAACACGTTTAATATGACCAATTCCTCCACATTTAAAACATTTAATTTTTCCAGATTTAAACTGACCATTACTTGCATTTTCAACTTTCTTTTGTGATTTAGTTTGATTTTTATTTTCTTTCATAAATTTATTAAATTTACTCACAAGTGCATTTTGAATAACATCTGACACACGACTTTGAAGTCGAATTTCTTCTTGTTGAAGACGATCACGTAAGTTTTTTAATGATTTATCTGCTTCAGACACTGATTCCCATGCTGCATGAAAGTGATCGAACTTTGATGGAAGATAATTCAATATTCTTGACATTATCCAACTGTCGTTAACCTCTTCACCATTTGACCGTAAATCTTGAGCTAATCCATCGATTAATAAACAATTTTCAGCAACAGATTTCGATTCATCATATTTATAACTGAAAAATTGTTGTTGTAACATTGCTGTAGACTTCCGACTTTTCTTACCATACAACCCTTCTAATCTTGTAATCATTTCATTTGCTGAATTACAAGTTGTAATTTTTAAAGCAATCTTTTCGTCAACATTTAATCCAATGATTGTCTGAGCCTCAATGTCCTTCTTAACCCATGCTCCATAACCAACACTGGTTTTATCTGGTTTCAAAATAGTACCAGAAACATCCTGACAATTCTTTTATTCTTAATAGCAAATCCAACTTAAATTTCCATGAAACATAGTTAGTCTTTCCATTACTGTCATTATATTCAATCAGCTTGTCCAAATTCGATTTCGCATCCATTTTCAGTACAATTGGTGTATTTTATTTTAAGATTAACTTGACTTTATTTTCAGATTTAAAATAATTAGATAATTAATTTTAATTACTTTCTGGGTCCCATAACCTGTTGTAGCAATAAATATTTACAGTCAAAACCGTTTACAGCGACATTGCTTACAACGACGAACCGGGTATAACGACGAAATTTCAAGGTCCCGTCTTAATGCAATATAAAACCTTCAAGCTTTTAAAACTGTTTATAACGACATCGCCTATAACGACAAATCGCTCATAACGACCATGGTTGAACCATCTTTTCGAAGAAAAATATCGTTTATAATGTCTAAGACATGCTTTTGCACTTGTATTTAGGTCTGTATTTGTTTTTCAGTAATTATATTTATAACGTCACAAGTTTTTCAACAGTTGAAAAAGACGAAGTATCTGGTACAGTTCGGGCAAACGTTCATGCCATCTTTGACAACTTTAGAGATAGACGAGTATATTGAGGTAGACAACGAGGTAGCTGTATGCTTGTCAATGAGTGATCGGAAAATGTTAGAGGATATTCAAAATCATGACACGATGGTTGAGAATTAGGATGAACAAGAAAATGATGAACAATTTGTAATACCAACGTCAGGGAAGCACTAATTGCTATTACTGTTTTACAAAAATTTGTGCTTGACGAAGAAGAATTAAGTTTAAGCAATAACAATGAAATATTGCATAAAATGTATTAACAAATTCAAAATTACTGCGTATAGTTTCAGTGCATTAAACAAACTAAAATGATAGATTTCTTAAAGTAATTTTTGTATAAATATTCATAATAAGTATTAGTTGACATCATTAACTGTAAGATGATATAACAATGCAATTTTAGTTTAATAAATAGTTGTAATGTATTTTTAAATGCAATGAGAACGTTTTTAATTATTAATAATAGATATTGGTCATAACGACTATCGGCTATAACGACCATAATTCATCGGTCCCTTAAATGTCGTTATAAACGGTTTTCACTGTAGAATTCTTTTATTTAAAATTATTCCTTTCCCGCACTGAAACCGAGTATTTTAATACTCCCGGGCGAAAGAACTACAGTAAGTAAAGTTTTAAATAAATAAAAATAACATCCACTAGATGGAAGCATAACAAGTGAAACATTTTCATGCGTACCAACAGAACTACCAAGAAACTCTATATAAACTTTCCATTAATTAAGCGCGTACATAGATTCGCTCATTCCTGAAATAGTATGTGTAAATTCACCTAGGTATACCACATACATATATCATGTTATCATATACACACACACAAACATATTTACAACTGTTATTACATAAGGAATGTTATACACATCAAAGATGTCAGCAGTAGTATAGAATCAGGAAAAATCTAAGGTATATTCTTGATAAATATTAATACATTGTTTTGCAGAATAAAATAAGTTAAACAACAACAATGGGTAGTGCATACTCTTTGTGGAAGGAACCTGATGTTACCCCAATGGGAGATGATCCCCCTTCATTTCCTCCCGGTTATGGATTTGAAAAAGGAAGGAAGCCTCGAGGTAATGAAAACATTTTAACCTCAACTTTTTCGATAATGTCTTGTTCAATTAAATTTTAAATCGAATAATATTGAACTAAAAACTAATGATATACATTATACTATGTTTATTTATAATGATATAATTCTTGACATTGTTAAGTTAATATTTTATAATTAAAATTTACTTGATAACGTTAAAAATATTGAGCATAATTGTAGCAAATGTCTGACGATTTTTTTTTAATTTATTAGTATTTACTTATTGCAATGATAATGATACAGAGAAATTTATCTGATAATATGTAAAAATCTTTCTGTCCAATTTCTTTAAAAATCATTTAGTTTAAAAGTTTTAAAAAAATATCTGGTAATGTCTCACTCATCTGAAAAAAGCAGACATCAAATGTAATTTGGTAAATAGAATACACAAACGAATTTTCAGGTGTCTACTTCTAACTTGAAAAATTAATATTTTTAATCTCAAGCAAATTTTTCTAAACTGTATGTAGACTATTATGTTTCATTGTCTTAAAAGTATTTATATTTTAACAATTATTTTGAAATAGACAAATCTAATAATTTTTATTGCTACTAAATATACAGTTACTGATCAATTTCCTTAGAAATTTTTTGTGTTTCGAATGAAAATAAAGAGAAAAATTCAGTAAAAATATATTATATAATTATAAATAAAGGCATCACTTAGTAAGATTTTTTATGTCTATATTTTTGAAGTGAGTTATAAGTTATAATTTTATTTAATGATTTTAATGATGTTAAATTACGATAGTAAATTGTTTAGAAAATTTTGAATTACCGTTTTTTGCATTCATTGGCCAATTTTACCTTTCTTCAAATTTATAATCTAATAAAATTTATGGAAAAAAAATTACGACTTAAAAATTTAATTATCTAAAAAAAAATAAAAATTAATGAGTGATTTTAATAAATTTATATTCTTATTAAATATAAAAAATAAAAAAAAAAGGAAATTCAGTCCAGTTTCTAAAGTGACTCAAAAAAAAAATGAACAACAAAATAAACTGATGAATAAAGAATGAAAAAAACAAATTTTTCGTTGTAAAAATGTATTTTAGAATGATACTGAAATTAGCCATCCGCTGTCAATTTAAAAAATTTTTTTAACAAATCAATTACAATGAAAAAATACTTCTAAAAATTTTCACTTATAATTCTTATTAATTTTCACATGTGGAACTTTTTAATTAAATTTTTTTATAATAATTTAAATACCATAAAATTCTAAAAAAAATTTTCATGTCTGTCAACTTAAGTGTGATATTTTAGATCATGTTATTTCTTATAGCTTAATAAATTTATGATTATTATATTTTCCAATTAACTTCTGTTCGTTTCAGCTATGGTTGCTACTGAACAGGAATTGATGGCCGCTAGAATTCCACTAGACAAACGAGATTATTGCGCGCATCATTACTTGAAGTTAGAACAATGCCGATATTACAATGTACCATGGATGATAAAATGTTCAGCTGAAAAACATGCTTGGGATCAATGCGCTTATGAAGAGTAAGAATTTTATTAAATTTTATTTATTCAATTCAGAATCTATAAGAGAAAAAACTGTCTGTCAAAATAATATTCATAGCATGTTTAATATTTCATGATTGAACTACGATTCAACTAATTATTCAAACGTTCACAAGAAAATAGAGCGTTTTTAATTCTATCATGTATAAGAATGTATTTTATTATCTTTCAAGTCTTAATTTATAAAAAAAAATTTCATTAGGAAAAATTATTTTTGACAAACTTTTTTTTTTAATTTATAGATTTAAAAATTTTTATTAATCGACAATTATGATCATTTAAAATATTATCTACTTCATGATTAGAAGTCAAGTACAAAAAATCAATTAAAATATATATATATACTTAGATTATCATATACTTATGAGTAATGAAGCTAAATGTGCTAGTACTTGGTTGATCTTAAAGTAGTTTTAAATTATAATAGTCATAAAATTACTGTCACATACAAAAGTTTACCCAACATTATCTATCATATACAATCTCGAAAACAATTTTTAATATTTACTTACAATGTGATTTAACATGTCAAAAACAAGCTGTAGATTTGTCAAAAAATGGTGATTAAGAATGAATTCGATAAATTTTTACCATTATTTCGATAACTAAAAGAAGTATCGCAATTTTTTCTAGTTAAATTATTAAGAATGTGGATGGAGTCATTCAAGACCGTTGATCTAGTAAAAATAACTCAGTTAACAATTGAAACTCTTGACTGTTTGGTACTCCAATGAATTATTAAGGAGGTCCTTTCGCCGCCAATGTAAAATAAAAAATATTAAATTATGAGTAAATTCAATTTTTTTCTAATAGTTAAGGTCCTTATTTATCTAATAGTGAGGTTTAAATTATACTTTACCGAACAAATTTTTGAAAAAATAAAATTTTTAAATGTTAGTATTTGTTCAGAGTCTTACGAGAAAGTCAGACGTTTGCAATATTTCTCGAATTATACTATCAGTTATGGATTAGATGAAGTAAAAAAAA